AGAGACACGAAAAGGACTGCTGGCTCCATACCCCCATGCGGCAGCTGAGAATCTAAAGGGATATCTCAGCTGCAAAGGTTCCCCCTGAGTAGTGGGGAGGTCTCAACCCCATGCCAGGCTCCCCAGCCCAGAGCACCAGGTCAGGGAAGAGGCGCCCACATAATATCTGGTTGTGAAAAACGGCAGGGACTCTGTCCGCCTGCCCTGGAGAGACAGACATCTGCTAGAAACCCAGGCACCATCTTAAAGGGTCAACACATAAAACCTTGTTCACAGCCACTCACCCTGGGCTTCGGTTGAGAGAGCGCGGAGCAGTCTAGAGTTCTGTGTGGAGAGACTGGGGTTGGTGACTCCGGGGAGAGAACTGAAGGGACAGCCATCAGCGTTCCTGTGCTGAGTCCCTCTCCCACACCGCCGATGCCATCTTTCTTGGGTTGATCGCTCCTCTCCATGTGGCATCAGCCTGGGGGAATGCAATAGCCCCACCCTCCCGACTCCCTATCGGCCTGCCCTGCAGCACTCAAGCCCGGAGGAGCAGTCAGCTGCCTGGGCCTGGGGTACGGGGGTATGGGCAGACTCAGGGAATGTCAGAGGCTGAGTGGTGTGGCTCTGGGAAGGCCATTCCCCCCACCCTCCCTGCGCCTGATTGGTGCCTCCTCATCATGGGAGATCCACTAGCCCCACCCTCCTGACTCCTAGCAGCTTGCAGTCTCCAGGCGATCTGGGCAGAATCCAGGACAAACTGTGTTGTGTGGTTGTATGACAGGGGCCATTTTTCATTTGCTCACCAGACCAATAGAGTTACCCCTTTGCACGGCCAAATCTTGGTCAGTTTGGGCCTGATACACTCTGCTGCCCTCCCCCCATGACACCCTGACACCTCATCAGCCCACCACAAAGGTCTGAGGGCACTCCGTGGGTGGCAGCTAGCCTTGGTGTACCCTGGGGCTTTGGTTAAGTGACCTCAGGCCCAGCACTGGCACCGAGTTTAAATCTGTATCCTTCTGGGAACACCACTTGCCCCTACCTGGCGACTCACAGAGAACCTACCTCACATACTCACATACCTCTAGAGCTCTTTACGTGCCTGAGCCTCATAGGCAGCCAGCACACGGAGGCATGTGGGAGTAGACCTCAGGGTGCCTTGGGCCTTTCTCTGACCTTCCCCTGGGCTCGGTGCTGGGGGAAGCCAGCCTTGGTACACAGCTTGGCCCTTCCCACACACACACACCCAGGCTAGCAGAGGCAGCCACAAACTGGGCATCACTTTGTAGCTCCAAATAGATTTCCCAGGGCTCACAAGTAGCATCTGAAATTGACCTGCACCAGACTCCCTCTGAAGAGGCCCCAGAACCAACACACCCAGTTAATACGCTCACAAGATCAGGGCAGGATCCAGTCAGCATCACAAGCAGCACATCCAAAGGGAGCTCTCAGCAGGCACCGGACCCTGCTGAGGCAAATTCCACTTCATGTGCTCAGCACCTGCATAGCAGCTTGTGGTCAGGGTTGATCCTCACAGTTAACCAGCCTGAGGGTTGAATTCATGCACTGAAGGGCCCACAGCAATCAAGACCCAATAACAATAAGAGGGCTCATATAACTCACATAAGGGACATTTCCTGGAGCACCCAGCTCAGGTAATCAAGGAGACTGTGCCACTGGGTCCTACAGAAAATTTGCTACTAAAGGCCATCCTACTAAGATTGGGAGACATAGCAGATCTACCAAATACACAGAAACAAACACAGAGAGGCAGCCAAAAGGGGAGACAAAGAAATATGCCCCAAATGAAAGAAGACATCTCCAAAAAAGAAACTAAATGAAATGGAGGCAAGCAATCCACCAGAAACAAGTCTCATAAAGACAGAGAACAGACTGGGGGTTGCTAGAGAGGAGGGAGCTTGGGGGACTGGGTATAAAAGATGAAGGAACTGAAAAGTACAGATTGATCGCTACAAAATATTCATAGGGCTGTAAAGTACAGAGTAGGAAATATAGTCAATAGTATTATAATAATTCTCTATGGTGCCTGTCAGGTATGGAAGTATCAGGGGAACACTTTGTAAAGTATACGATTATCTAACCATTATGTTTTATGCCTGAAACAAATACAAAATAATATTGAAAGTAAACTGTAATTGAAAAAAAAAAAATTTAAGAAAAAGAAAAAAAACACATTTGGAAAAACGAAGCAAGAAAAAGTAATTTACATAGGAAAATTAAATGTGAACACATTAATTATGTAAAGAACTCAACAAATAGTCAAATTACAAAGTGGATAAAATGATGGATATGCAAACCATGCATTATTAAATTCTTAAACTTAGAAGAAGAATACAATTCCTTGGGTTCCTCCAAAAATAAATAAATTAAATAAAATGGTGCCCCAGAAAAAAAATGGGGGGCAAAGGTGGTCTGTTGGGTGGGTCAGGGTCTTTTGTCAGGATGTTGGCTGGGGCTGCACTCATTAGTAGAGCATCCACTTCCGTGCTGGCTCACTCCCATGGACAGCAAGTCAATGTTGAGTGCTGCAGGAAACCCCCATGTCTTGGCCCACGGACCTCTGCGTAGGACTGCCTGAGTGTTCTCACACATGGCAGCTGTCTTCCCCCAGATTGCATGACCCAAGAGAAATCAAGCTGGAAGCCTCGATATCTTCTATGACCTACCTCAAAAGTCACATGCTGTCATTTCCACAATATCACTAATGGTATCACAGGTCATGTCTATTCAGTGTGGAGGAAATCACACAGGGATGAACACTTGGTGACAGAGCATTGGAGGTCTTGCTGTGGGCTGACTACAATGCCTAGTACATATTTCCCTTTGAAAGGGGGTAGGAAGCCAAAGATCCCCAAAATGTGATTGTTTGTAAACTATTCCAATGTGCTGAGCAAAGAGCACATTGTAAAGAGCAAAAGTAAGCATTTTCCTCTCCTGGGCAAAAGAAAGTAATTTCACATTTTTATAAGAAATCTCATGGCTTTGGGGTGTACCACTTTACATCTCTTTTGAGATTCCAAAGGTGAAATTACGCTTCGTGACTCAAGAGTGAGGAGCAGCAGAGTGGCCGAAACAATGGGGCTGTGGCAGAAAGTTGTTACTCAGAAGTTCCTAACCATTCCTCTTGAGAGTCATTAGGTTTAGTTATTTTCCAAAAAATAATAAGCTCCATCCAATGAAAAGTTTTCTTGCCCTTCTACATCTGACAGTAACTGTCATCATAAAACAAGGGTAGACTACATTTTTATTTTGTTTTGTTTGCTTTCTGGAATGCTTGATATGATAGCACAGAGTGTCTGGAATTTCCTTACAATCTTCTAAGGAGGTAGAAAGCCATATGTCTAATTATAAAACAATGCTAGCCTTGTCATTGCTGGGTTAGCAAGCCAAAAATCTGGGAAAGTTCAACAAAGCAGTGGTTTAAAAATATTTATATACAGTAAAACTTTGTTTAGTTGCCAAACACCTGAAGAACGGGTGAATTTTTCCACAAGGTTCATCAACATCACCAAGTAATATTTTCTAAGCCCTCTCCTTCTCTTGAATAATCAAATTCACGAGATAATTATGACTGAATCTCTCACCAGAAAGTGCCAGACATTTTTCTAGGCTTCCAGGAGATATGAAAGCGAAGATCCAGCCCTCCAGGAGCAGGCAGCTCTCTGCTCAGTGTGGGAAACCCCTTAGGTCTAGGGGTGGATTTTCATGGCACCCCTTCCCCTTTATCCGTGTAACTGAAACCCATGTTCTGCTGCCTGTTGCTACAAAAACCAAACTCTGGATAGATGGCTGGTGAAAGGGGAAAGAGGTTTATTCAAGTGCCAGTCACCTGAGGAGATGGGGGACTCTTGTTGCAGAGCCCATCTCAACATCTCAGTGCAGGCAGAAAATCTTATAAGGAGGGAAAGGCAAAGGAGAATAAAGAAATTGAGGGGAGGGGAGTTCCAGGACTGCACACTCCATTTGAATAGGACCTCCAAACTGGTCCAGTGGTGGTCTGCTGTGCATTATCCTGGTCTTTGTCATGCTGGTTCTACAGTAGAAGGTCAGCAAATCTTCCAGAACTGGGGTGACTGAAGGTCGGCATCTGTACCTTCTGAAGTTAGTTCCTAGGGTTCTTATACAGACATGCTGTTTATCTACAAGCTACATATTAGTCACAGTCAGCATTTACAGAGACAGTGTCAAAAGAATGATGGGTGGGTTACAATTTTCCACTGTTACATAAACTTTTAATAAAACATAAAACTTAGTGATACAAGATTTGAACCAGGAGGCCTCTTCCTTACTCTTTCTATTCTATCTCCCCACTTTCTGGGAAAAGTATATCTTTAGAGGGCAAGTACCTGGTTCTAGGGATATTTCTCTCTCCAAATCTTACATATTCAGAGTCTCATTCTGTCTAATTCTTTCCCAAATCTACTCAACATGTATTGTGAGCCTGCTCAAACATTAACTCCATATTTTAGACCCTCTATCCTGTAGATGTTGCAGTTATCTATAATAATAAAAGCGTAATATGCTAATTAGACCGAACGTCCTTCCGGATGAAGCCGGGGCTGCGATGGAAGCCTGGGTCCCAGGTGCCAGAGGGAAACTGGTGCCAGCAGCCGGGGGAAGGAAGGCCTACTCTTGCACGAATTTTGAGCACTGGGCCTCTAGCATGGTATAAGCAACAGAAGCAAATCTCAGCCCCTGGTGATTCATGCAGAAGGGGCGTGTCTGTCCTGGGGACAAAAAAGGACAACCTTCCCAGGAAAGGAGAGCAGCAGTGGCAGAAGCAACAGCTTTTTCAAATGGACGCTGTGAGCTGACATACATCCTAGAGACTTTCTTCTTTCCCTGAAGAAGAAACAAGGGATCCTTCCCCATCCAAACAAAAGACTCACTGAAGTTTTCTATTTATATGCATCAACTTCCCTTCTTCTTCTCTTATTTATTCCTCAACACACTCAGAATTTTTTAAAAAGAACAAGACACAATGCAAAAGCAGCTCATTTTATAAAGTAGAGCACTTAGTTTATTCCATTTTGAAATAGTTAAATTTCCTAAAGACATCTTTCTTCTTTTAATTGACATAAAACACTACATTAGTTTCAGGCATACGACATTATGGTTCCACATTTGTATGAATTGGGAAGTCATTACCACAATAAGTCTAGTTAATACCCATCACCATACATAGATAGATACATTATTTTCTTGTGATGAAAACTTTTAAGATCTCCTGTCCTAGCAACTATCAAATACACACTACAGTATTATAATTATTATTTATAACTGGAAGTTTGCACCTTTTGACTCCCTTCACCCACTTCACCCACCCCCACTCCCACCTCTGGAAACCACCAATCTGGTCTTTGTATCTATGAGCAGTTTTGTGGTGTTTGTTTTTTAAGATTCCATATCTAAGTGAGATCAGACAGTATTTGCTAAAGACATCTTCCTACATTATGGATTAACAACCTTAAAACCTTACAGCTAAAAGCGATTTTAAATCATGCCTGGATTGCATAAATGTAAAGGTTCATACAAAAGTATTAGCCCTCACCCCTGTTTCTTAACAAGGGGCTCACGTTCCTACAGCACCCTTCCGCCTGTCAGTCCCTAGAATAAAAAATGATGACAGTTGTCCCCTGAGGGGCAAAGGCAACTTTGCCTGGGCAGCTCTTCACTTTTCCAATGGGACTAAGTCATCAAAACCTAAAATTTTAAAGGAAAAAAGGAAAGTCTGAACAAACACAGGGTGAGGCAAAAGTAGGTTTACGGTTGTGAGTATGTGAAACAGAGTTTATTCTTGTATTATTATTATTTATTAATTATTGTATTATGTGTCACATGAATAACTATAAACCTACTTTTGCCCCACCCTGTATGGCAATGATCAAAACATGGAGAGTAAGGTCCTTTACTCCCTTTGAAAAACAATGATTTAAAATGTGCTTACCATTGTAGCAATTGTTCTGTCACTGTGCCAGATGTTTTCTGTTTGTCTCTTCAGATGTGCTTGTCACTCCTCCACCACCACAACCCCTGCTTTGGGAAGTGCTCTCCATGGACACTTTCCTGCTCTCTTGTTTCTGGCTGGGTCCTGCCAATTGAGGGGGTAGCGGCAGAAAGAGAGAAGGGTCAGGCACGCATTGTCCTCTCTCTCTCGTCCTCCCTCCCTTCCTCCTCGGGCCATTGGTGTGATCTTCTACCAAAGATCATGGCTCTTAATGGGTGTCCCCACCCCTCTCCCACTACCACATCCTCACTGGGCTACAGGAACTTCTCCCTCCACGAATCTTCAGTCCTTCTTGCTCATCCTGTGATGCTTCTCCATCCCTTGTGGATTCTCTGCATCTGCCGGCACTTTTGTAAATTACCCGTTCATGAGACTCTCATCCGTGATCCCTTTGGAGGATGCCATCTGCTTCCTGCAGCGCTGTGCGTGACTGACATTGTCAGCCACCATATCAATGCATCACGCATTTCATTCACACTTTTCCAACTGAAAAGTAAACCACACGAGAAAAGGAAGGCCAACCACTGGGTGCACAACGTTCCATAACTAAGAAAATAACATAGGCTCTGCTGCAAAGAAAATGAAAGAAAGGTGCTTTACTGGGAACATTATTTACTGAGGCAATAGGAAAGGAATGTTAGAAAAGCAAGAATGCTTGTCAAGTTCAGGGTCCATGATAAACACAGACTGATGTATGTTGTAGCCATGTGAGTAAGACACAGTGGATATAAACATGCATATGCAATGATTCTGCTCTTAACAAAACACAAAAAACTGGCAGGCCTTGGAAATTAAAAACACACGTTTGCAATTATTTTATTAGGCCTGATTTGAAAAGAAAGTTTTCTATAGTCAAATGTATTGTACATTATTTTGTTAATCTCTGAAATAATAGCTTATGAATAAAGCTGGTTTGAGTAGTAATTGTTGAATTTTTACAGGATATTTGATTCTCTCCCCAAACGTGTTTAAATGAGCTTTTCAAAATAACCAATTGATGCCCTGGAGGTAAGGAAGAGTAAGGGGTTCTCAGAATTGAAAAGCAGCTGCTATTCTCTTTGGTAGAAAAACAAACAAACTCAGGAACCCAGAATTGAATGAATCACAATTGAATTTTTGATTCTTTAAGCATCATCATCACCATCATCATCACCACCAGGTCATGCTTGTCCTTCTTTTATGTTTGTTTGTTTGTTTGTTTGTTTGTTTGTTTTAAACATAATAAAACAAATACCTATAAACCCGGTATCCTAACCAAGAGCTAGAATATTAGTAACTGGCCCATCATGAATCTCATGCACCTCCTCCCATCTGCTCAGCATCCCCCAGGTTTTTCACCCTCACCACTTGCTCTGCCTCAGCCTCGCCCCACAACTGACCAAGTCACCTGGGCTACTGGTTCCCCAGTCAGGGCTGATCAGGGTCAGGGTTCCCCTCGATGGACCATCCTGCAGCCAGGCCAACCCCCTATGCACCCAGGTTCTCGCTCCCCCTGCCCTTCATGGACTCAGGTGAAAGGTCACACTATATGGCATGGGCTCTAACAACTTGAGCAGCCACCAAAGAGGGGAAGTGACACCCCATGAAAGCACGAGGACTTTAACTTCCCATGGGCACAGCGGAGATGGGCAGCCCCAGGGGATAAATTCCCTCTTCATCCTCCCTCTGTACAGCTTTCCAGAGAAGCCCCACTGAGCAGGACATAACCGTCCACTGTGTCTCCTTGTGGCTCGTGGAAGTGGAGGCCAATAAGGCTGTGCGTCACTTTGTGCCTGATCTGCTCAGGCTGCCCCAACAAAGGACCACGCGCGGGGGCTCAAACAGCAGGAATGAACATCCTCACAGCTCCGGAGACGAGAAGTCAGGTCAAGGCGTCGGCAGGGTTAGTTTTTTCTGAGGCTTCTCTCCTTGGCTTGCAGAGGGCTGTCTTCTCCCTGGACCTTCACGTGTCCACACACATGCCTGTGTCCAAGTGTCCGCTTGTAAGGACGCCAGTCATATGAACTAGGCCCATCCCGAAGACCTCATTTCTTCTTTAAAGGCCTCACCTCCAAATATGACCGCATTCCCAGGTAACAGGTTAGGACTTCACCATGTCAATTCGAGAGGAGTGAGGGTAGGCGGGACACAGTTCATCCCATCACACTTTGTATTGCTTCACATCTTTTTTCTCTCTTCAGTCGCCCTGGGTGTTTATCTCCCAAGTAAAGCACCAATACTTTTATCCTTGACTCCAGCAAGATCTAGCTAATATGACAGTTTGTTACATCCATTCATCCACCTGTAGGTCCCTTCCTTTCCCGGCCTCTTGCCATCCCACCCAATGGAACCAAGATCCTGAACTTGGTCATTATCATTCCCTTTTTCTCCATTTGTTACTTACAGGGTGTGGCACTAATATTTTCTTCAATGTTTCCTGTTTTAGAAAGTTATGAAGAGCGTTATACTGTAAGTTGAATTCTGGTACTTTTGTCACACAACACTATGTTAATGAAATTCAGCTCTTTGCTGTGAACAACCATAATTCATCCCTTTGCACTTGCTGCAGATTATTCCACTGTAAGAATAAACCACAATGGATACGGTATTTTGTTGATGGACATGAGGCTGTGGTGTGCAAACAAAGGCGGATGGGCAGGCTGCACAAATAGGCCACCTAGAGACCATTTGTTGGGGACACCCAGGAAAAAAGGCAGCAGAGGAAACGGAGGTCCCGGTCATCTCATCTCAGCAGTAGACAAAGGTCTACCAGAGCCCAAAGTCAGAATCCAGGAGAGAGTCCTTACGCCTTGTGGGGCCTTCACGCTGCAAGATTAAGGAAGACCCAGGCCCTCCCCTCGCGTGACCAGCAGATGACCAGTTTGCAGCTGAGTGACACTGCCAAGAGCAGCACGATTCGCTTCATTAGCATCCACAGTGAGGGAACAACCAGCTCTCCCCTCCCACAGGTAGCCCTGGAAAAATAAGATCTAAGCCTCGCATTCAATCAGAATTTATTACCCTAATAAGGGGTCATAGGCAATTTCCATGGAGCTCTGCGGGAGCCCAACTCCTTTTCTGGGAGACCATCCTATAAGGGATCAGTTTCCTACAATTGAGCATTTACCTCTCAAGTCGTTTTATCCTCCAGAATACATACCCAGGAGCGAAACTGCTGCGTCCTATGATATATGAATATTCAATGTTATTTCATATGAGCAATGCATATGACATCCCATTGGCCCTCCTAGCACTTCCTCCTAGTATTCTTCAGTTACTGCATTTTTGCCAGTCCACTAAGTATAGGAGCATGTCTCCCTGTGATTTTGATTTAGATTCCCATGGTGACTAACGAGTATCTTTCCACGGGCATATGGGCCATTTCTTTCCCTTTGGTGAAATGCTTTTGGCTCATTTTAGTACTGATTTGTCCTCTATTCTCAATCTGTAGCCTTTTTAAAATTATCTTTACAGTGTCTTTTGACGAACAGTTCTTAACTTTAATGTAGTTGAATTTGTCAGCCTTTTCTTTTACAGTGGGCCCTCTTATTGTCTTGTGTGAGAAATCCTCCCCTACCCCGAAGTCATAAAAACAAATAAACTTTGAAATGAGGCATGGACCAAAGAATACATCATAATGGAATTTAAAAATTAGTTGGAATTGAAGGATAATGAAAACACTGTATATCAAGCCTTGTGAAATACAGCAAAAGTAATGTTTTAAGGGAAATTTGTAGTCTATGTGTTAATGTTAAAAAAGAAAAGTATGTTAATAAGCTAAGTATCCACTTAAAAATATGGTAGATATAATCAAAAATATTGTGATAACTACGTGTGGTGCCAGGTCAGTACCAGAATTACTGGGGGATCACTTCGTAAACTATACAAATGTCTAACCATTATGCTGTACACCAGACACTAAGATAAAATAATATTGAATGTTAACTGCATTTGAAATTTTTTAAAAGAAAACAATAAGCATTTTCATTTAAAAAATAAAGGCACATAGCAGAGACCATCAGTCCCATCCATACCCCTTTCCCAACCTCGCTTGCAATTAAGGTGCCATGACGGTCCTTTCTAGGCCCACTCTGTTCTACCGTCTCACTTTCCCATGTCCTACACTCCATTCGGCCAGATGGATAATGCCAGGGTAAGCCTGCCGCCTCAAGTTGGAGAAACCATAAGGAAGGAGTGTCCTGAGTCCCTGGGTCACTAGCTGGAGGACGGCTGTCACAGTGCGTTGCCCAGTCAGGAACATACACACGGGACTTTGCTGCATAAAGAAAATGTAACTCTTACTGTGTTATATCACTGAGCTATGGGGGTTGTTACAGCATGAGCCTAGTATAAGTCTAAATACACACACACACACACACACACACACACACACACACACACACACAGAATCAATCCAAAGGAAAGAAAAGGAAGGAGGAAATAAAAGAGCAGAAATCCATGAACAGAAAACAAAGAAGCAGTAGAATTCTCAACAAAGGACAGCTGTTCCTTCCTGAACTAGAAAAGCCATCAGATAACTGCCCAACTCTGTTCTTCGTCTCCTTGGCAAATGTGTTTTCATCTGCCCACGCTGATCAAAGGAGAGCCCATTGAGAGGACGTCTGTGGAGCTGCATGGGCTGGACTATTTGTTGTTTGTCCTCCAATTGCCAGATAATTATGCTGCATCTTCTCCTGGCGCAGGAACCAAAGGGTGGGAGAAGGATTGGCATAGAGAGCAAATCTGGGGAACTGGGTGACTGGGGTTTGAGCTGCATCAGGAGAAGACAAAGGAAAAGAGCAGAGCAAGAGGCCTTAAGTCAGAGCAAACGTGAGAAAGCAAGAGACATAGAAGCATCGAACAGACTATCAAACCACAGAGGGAAGGCTGGGGATGGGGGGGAGGGGTAGGGGAGAGGTGGGATGTAAGGGATCAACCAAAGGACTTGTATGCGTGCATATACGCATAACCCATGGACGCAGACAGTAGCGGGGGTGAGGGCCTGTGCTGAGAGGTGGGAGCAGGCTGGGAGAAGTCAATGGGGGGAAAAGGAGATATATGTAATACTTTCAATAATAAAGAATTTAAAAAAGAAAAAGCAAAAAGGCAAGAGGAAGAAAGGCACGCAGAGCAGCAGGGGAGTCTGGGAAGGTCAGGACCAGTGCTACCCGCACAAGGAGACACGACAGCAGCAGAGTATTGTCGTATGTGCACCACGTATTCCACTGCCAAGGACAGGGTTCAATCCCATCTCCCATGCAGTCAGTGTAGTTCACATTTCTAGTTAATTCTGCAAGAGTGCTTTTGATAAAAGTCCCCGGATGCATTCATCAGGAAAAAACAACCGTAAAGAGGTCCAGTAAGTGTCCTCATCATTAACCGCAATTTCCAAAGGAGCTTCTTTATTTAATCATCTGATGTTTCTCCCTTTTCCTCTCTCTTTTTCGTAGTCCAACATCTCCTGCTACCTGTCATGTGTTTGGAGTGCAGGGTGCCCGGGGCAGCCGGATCTCTGCTTGTGTTTATACATCAACAAAGGAGAAGCCCACAGACTCAGGTGAGCAAAGGACAACTTAGCAGTTAGCAAAGGCCAACATTCTTTTAAAACCAGGCTCTCAAGTCTCTGACGGTATCGGTTTGTTGTCTCAAAAACACAGCAACAATATTCCCAATGGTTCCATCACGCACCCCCTTGGGATGAGGGTGCTTAGCACTCTTTCACCATTTAGTCAATAGCCTCAGTATTTAGGCACTTGGTTTTCTCAGGTACAAATTACTCTCCTTCCACCAAACATCACACAACTGGAATGGTCCTCCATCGTGTCTAAATGTGTAGAAAGTCTTCACCCCTCCGCCCCACTGTTACTTTTTCTATGCCTAATTGGAAACTGGCTGTGTAAGTCTTAAATGAGTCCTCTGTAGACTTCTGAAAGTGCTTACATTCCCAGCAGTTACTGTAATCCTGTAACCAGAGAAGCTGTTGTTGATGGCCAAGGTTTATTCTTCCTATAAATAGGATTGAGTTCTGACACCTGGTATAATGTTTTTCTTTAGAATGAGAGCCAATGCAATGAAATTCTATATGTAGTCGTCTGGGGGGGAAATCCGTTAATATAAAGTCTTTTTTTTTTTCCACAGAAAGCTTTAATATATTTTTCTAATTTTTTTTCAGACTGTACAGTCATTAATTTTACCATCTAGTGACTTCAATAATATTTGCTCTACTGACCATGTGAGCTATACAGAAACGCTTTAGAAAGGCTCATAATCCAAGCTGGAGAGGCAAACATCTAACTAACAGGATAAATCAATGCAATGTTTGCCTCTCCAGCTTGGATTATGAGAACAATAGGAGATTAATTAATAGGAGATTAATAGGAAACAATAGGAGATTAATTTTTCCCAGAGTAGAGTCAAGGAGAGCCTCATGGGGATGACCTTGAGAGTCACCTAGGTCAGCGGTCACCAACCGGTGGTCTGCGGACCATTGGTGGTCCGTGAGGTCCGAAAGGTTGGCGACCGCTGACGTAGGCGATGGGACATAGAAAGATGAGTCCATCCTTAGGATTTAAGATAACAGAACTAAGTGCCAAGTAAGGGGTGTAAGGAAGAGCATTAGCAAAATGACCTCTTTTGTGTGTCAGTTAAAACTAACACACAAACCAAATCTTGTACCCTGGCATTTGTGTTTTATATCGTCTAAAGATTATAATTCAGTTAACATCGTGGAATAGAATACACTCTAAGCAGGCTTCAGTGGACTTCCTTCAATGAGAAGCCGAAAGGGGGCACTTCCAAGTAAAAAGTCCTCTAAACACATGACCTTGAATGTTCTTCCACTTAGTTAATGGCCCAAGAGCAAAAGCGGAAGCAAATTAAATCAAGCAAACCTTGGTTTACTTATTTTCTTCTCCAAAAATTGGGTTCTAGTTTTTTTGTATTTTTTTTTTCAAAATTCCTCATTTGTTCTGAATGTCTATCCTTGGCATCGCCACAAGCACAAATAATATAAAATGCCAGTTCAGTCAATCCACAATTGTCTTCCCTTTCTCCTGGAATAAAACAGGCTATTTCCTGGGAAATAAACAGATGAGGACAATCACATGTGGGGGTTACCATCAGGTGTTCAGGGAAGTGAAGGTGAGAGGTCCAGGGAGGGAGACAATTAGTACAAAATGCAACTGGGACCCAAGATACAGAACAGAACTGAGTTTTGTCAGAAAGAAGGAAGAAAGAATGGGATCTCCTGGCATTTGTGATCTGCTGGGTTGAAGTATAGTATATGGACTGCTGATTGGATAGGCTTTTATTTTACTGCGGCTGAATATGCACATGTTTGTATGGTTCCACCTAACAGAGGAGGGAGGCAAACACAAGAGCTCCAGCCGGGAAGGGGCTGGGAAATCCACCTTAGAAAGTGCAGCCACAGCTCCACCCTATTCCCATGGAACAGATAAATACACCTCAACGCACGGGCAACCAGAACCCGACTCTGTTCATGAAAGTCTGTCCAGAAACAACATTCATGACTGCTTATCTGTATTAGCGAGGCACCTGTTGGTTTGTGTGCTCACAGCCTGGCTCATACACTGCACACGCCCAGATGGTTGAAAGTCAGGCAAAACTCAATCAAACAAATCAAAGCTGAGCCTAACAACCATTTTCCAGTTCCTTTTGTCCCTCTCAGAGCTTCTCTCTATATTTCTCCCTGGACCCACCAAAGCATATGTTGGGGGAGGCATCTCCAAGGACAGTCTTACTCAGCTTCCACAAAGGCAGCACAATCCACTTGTTTTATATTTATGTCAGAGTTCTTTTTCATGAGAACTTCAAAAGAAATACCATCCTACATGATTCCTTTTCACGAAATTCATGCAAAAGTAGGCCTTTGCAGCTGTGGTGGCTGCCTGGATCCCTCCTTTGATCCTGTGGCTGCAGCCCCTGCTTCATCTGGAAGGTCTGTCTAATTAGCATGTTACACTTTTATTATTATAGATGAAACAGAAGTAAGTTTGGGAGTACCACTTTAACTGTGGATGAGAGGCGAAAGTCATTCAGCCACTTAGAAGATGGGGAAAATGATGTCCCTGGTTTTCCTACATCATTTTGCTGAAGAAAGTTGGGGTGATTAAAGAGAGGAAACACACTAATGATCAATCAAGCCAACTTTAAAATAATACTCTATTATTCCGAGTATGTCCAATCATAAACTTAATATGGCTTCTTGAGTTCTGACTCAGCCCTAGTTTCTGAGTAACTCAGATTTGTAAAATCCACCCTTCCAGGCCACAGAACACATAGCAGGGTTCTGACAGCCTGACAATGGCATTGTTTTGCTGGTTAGGGACAAGGGAATGAACACATTCCCTGTTGAGCGGTTCTGAATGCCGTATTCTCCAGCGGTGGAGAGGCATAAACACCACACCTATAATCAGCATCTATTAAGTGCTGTGTGCTCAACTACACGAAGGGCCTTACAGACATTAACTCCTTTAATCCTATGAGCCTATGAAGTAGATGCTATTATTATCCCCATTACATGGATAACTGGGGGGCAGAGATAAGTAACTGGCTTCAAGCCCCAGAGCTTGTCAGTGGTAGAGTGGGACAGCTGCATTGCCAGACTTCAAAAGCCGAGCCCGCAACTGCTTCTAACTTCTCCAAGACTAATTCTAAAAATCAGACTTCTACGTTGATCCTAATTCCTGAAATCCATCCACTCTTATCCTGGCATGGCCTCGGCTGTATGTATGTATATATATAAGTATATATGTATGTGTGTGTGTGTGTGTGTGTGTGTGTGTGTGTGTATATATATATATATATATATATATATATATATATATATATAATTAGAGGCATAAGGGGGGTCCCTCAGCCCACTCTGCACCCTCTTGCAATCCGGGACCCCTCAGGGATGTCCAGCTGCTGGTCGGGCCTAAACCAGCAGTTGGACATCCCTCTCACAATCCAGGACCCTCCCTCCTAACCGCCCGCCTGCTCGCTCCTTACCACCTGCCTGCTTGCTCCTTACTGCTTGGCTTGCCGCTCCTTAGCACTGCTGCGGAGTCAGGGGAGGCTTCTGCCACTGCCACTGTGCTCGCTAACCATGAGCCTGGCTTCTGGCTGAGCAAGTCTCCCGCTGTGGGAGCGTACTGACCACCAGGGGGAAGCTCCTGTGTTGAGTGTCTGCCCCCTGGTGGTCAGTGCATGTCATAGCGATGGTCATTCTGGTTATTCCACTGTAATGGTCACTGGGCTTTTATATATATAGATATGAAAATAGAGCCCAGTCCCCACAAAGAAAAAGGATAACTTTTTACTTCAAAGACAATATTACTTAATATTAAAGTTCTTTCATGGTTAAGATTAATCAAAATGTTCAGACCAAGATCTGTTAACATGGTGAAGGAATTTCATAAAATCCAGCCTTTGTCACCCTGAAAATACAGTTGTCATAAAGTAAGTCCCTGATAATTGGTCTAGTCTAGTGGTCGGCAAACTCATTAGTCAACAGAACCAAATATCAACAGTACAACAATTAAAATTTCTTTTGAGAGCCAAATTTTTTAAACTTAAACTATATAGGTAAGTACATTGTTACTAACTTAATTAGGGAACTCCTAAGGCTTAGGAGGAGCCACACTCAGGGGGCCAAAGAGCCGCGTGTGGCTCGCGAGCCGCGGTTTGCCGACCACGGGTCTAGTCAATGGAAAAAACAAGAGGAAATGATTTCCCCCTCAATGTTTTCTCTTCTAATCCCTGCAGAAACCTCTGCTCCAGGACAGGGGAGAGAAAATGAGAATCTTCATATCCTGGGCTGCCGGGATTTCAGGAGGGCTGTATCTCTTCTTCTTAAAATCCCTTTGAGGTGTACATCTTCATT